GAGCAATTGCAAAGCTGCAGCACCTTCCCTGCACTGCGCAGGGCGGTTATCCGAGCTCCTCCTGCTCCAGCTGGAGAGCCCTGGGCTCTCCCCAGTGCTGCGGTGCCAGCAGGAACCGTCTCTCCGTGCCCTCCACAGGGCCCCCTTTCCCAAGTGCCCCATCCYGCGGCTCCTGCCTGCGCCCCGCTCCCTGGCACCCACGGCCGCCCTCCAGCACCCTCCTTCCCGCTGCGCATGCAGAGCCATCCCGTGCTGCGTGCCCTCGGCTGCCCCGAGCGCCGGCTGCCGCTGCTGGCGACGTGGTGTCGGCCTCGGCTTGGCCGTGTCCTGTCTGCATGCCCGCTTCCGCGCCCGCCGTGCCGCCCCGCGCCCCCGGCCCTGCTTCAGGGCAGCGGAGCCGCCGCGCACGCCCAAGGAGGGAGCAGGATGAGGAGAGCTGGGAGCCAGCCGGGAAAGCGGGGAGGAGGAAGGAGCTCTGGGAAAGGCACATGTGGCAACGGGAATGGGCTGGAGGGGGTGCCGGACACGGGGGGCTCGATGCCTCCCATTGCCTCCGCCGGCATTCCCACGTGGGGATCCGCGCCCCCCACCCCGGGGCCGGCTCCTCCGCGGCGGGCGCCCGGACGCCGGGGCCCCCCGCTCAGCGGCGCGCCCGTGTCCCGCAGCCCCACGGGCAGCAGCCGCTACGCCTCGTCGGCCGAGCTCAGCCAGGGCAGCTCGCAGCTCAGCGAGGACTTCGAGAACGAGAGCCTGCGGGACTCGGAGCTCGACGAGCGCGACGGCGACTCCTACCACTCGTGCCACAGCTCCGTCAGCTACCGCAAGGACTCGCCGCGCTGGGACGAGGAGGAGGAGGAGGAGGAGGAGGAGGAGGAAGAGGAGGACGACCTCTACCTGGAGGAGGAGGAAGAGTTCAACGAGGACTATAGTGAGAATGAGGAAGGCTACGCTAAGGAGGAAGAGGAGGAGGAGCTGCGGGAGCAGGAGGTTTATGAGTCCCAAGCCTTGGAGCACGACACGTACCCGGCGGCAGCGCCGAAAGCGCCCGGGCAGCAGCAGCCCGTCCCGCAACAGCCGCAGCCACCGCAGGAGAGGAAGGAGGAGAGGAAGGAGGAGAGGAAGGAGGACAAGGACACGGCCGCCCCCCAGGAGAGCCCCGAGTCCCTCCTAGCCCAGCGGGCAGAGGATGAAGCCCCCGCACCCGAGGCGGCGCAGGAGCCCGAGCCCCCGGCAGCCGCCGAGAGGTAGGAGGGAGCGGGAGGGAGAGCAGGTCCCCGGGACACCCACGGTGCCGGAGGTGGCCGAGGCTGGGGGGATGTCACCATGCGGGTGTCACCGAGCGCCTTGTGCCGTGTCCAGGGTGTCGGGTGCTGTCCTGCACCGAGAGGGTGAATTCCTCGGTGGCCGTATCCCCAGTGCCACCAATAATTCGGGGCCGGTCTTTGTCTTCAGTTATTGAGAGGCTCTGCCTGGTGGGCATGCAGCTTTTTCGGGGTTTTTTGGGGGGGCTTAAATTACAGCCTGGAGTCAGGGGAACTTCTGATTTAAAAGAACCCATAATGAGATGGCAGTTTTTTTGAAAAAATATAAAAACCCCAACCCTATATATGTAGGGCTGCAGGCAGGTGGCCTTGCTTTGGCTCCACCAGCACCTCTTCCTGGGGGCTGAGACCGCAGATTCATGTCATGCCAGGAGACGGGGATACCCTTTCCTCTATTTTTTCCCCTAAAAAAACAAAAAAAAAAAAAAAAAGAGGGAAAAGAAGGAAAAGACAAGACATGTGCAGGCTGGAGGGGCATCCGGGTGCGCGCCGCGGCGGGGCCGTGACGGGCTGCGTGTGCTCGCAGGGAGGCGCCGGCGGAGGTGCAGGACCCCAAGGCGCGCGCCAAGGCCAACTGGCTGCGAGCCTTCAACAAGGTTTGCATGCAGCTGCAGGAGGTGAGCGAGCCCCATCCCGCGGGAATCCAGCCCCTGGACCGGCACCAGGGGCTGGGGGGCGACGAGGACCTTCCCCCTCCCCGGCATGCGCCGCATGTGCCTCCCCGTTGGTTGAGTTGACCATTTTCTGTTCTGTTTTTAGACTCCATCCTCCATCTTTTCTTTTTGTTTTGGCTCCGGCTGCACCGCGCCCCCCTCCCCGCCGCTTCTCTTTTCAGTTCTCCACCACCATGGTCCTTGCGCCCGCGTCTCCCCTGCCCGCAGGGAAGGGCTCTAGCCCGCCTGCAGGTAAGCATGTGCCGCGCGCGTCCCGAGCGCCCGGCCCCGGCAGGGGCAAAACCGGCCCTTTCCCCCTCCAAAAAGCCCCTGCGTGGGGCAGGGGCGCCGGGCCCTGCGCCCACCCCACGTTCCCGGCTTTTCCCCCCGCTTGGCTCCGTGCGCGGAGCCTCCCCTGCGATGCTGTGGCTGTCCCTTGCCCGGAGCGCCCGGGCACCTGGCTGCCCGTTTTCCAGCACGTCTCCAAGGGTTTTTTGTCTTCCCAGGACAAACGCCGTGCTGGAAAGATCCCAGCTGTTTTAGGAGCGTGCATTATCCGTAATCCCTTTCCATGCTTCCCGCTGGCTCAGTGCTCATTCATTCCCAAGCAGAGCAGCATCCCTGGGATGCCAGAATGCTTCCCGCTGCCTTCCCGGCATAGGGATCRGCTCTGCAGCCCCTGACTGGCACCATATGTCTTGCAGGCCCGCGGAGAYGGCGACGGAGAAGCCAAATCCCTCTGGTTCAAAGGCGGGTGAGTGAGGGACGGGGAGGCGGGCGAGGAGGTGAGTGGCTCGGGATGGCACCGAGTCCCACCTGGAGACGATTGGAGGGGACCCCAGATCCTCCAGGAATCACACTGGGTGTCTGCAGAGGAACCCTGGCTTTCCCGGGGGCCGGAGGCTGCGGAYCAGCATCTTGCTCCAAGCACGGCCCCGGCGCTTCAGCGGAAAACCCGTCTGTCCTGCTCCGCGCCACAAAGCCAAAGCAAAACGAGCCCCAAATGCTCCTTTTTTAGCAGCATTTCACTGTCCCCACGTTGTACCAGCCATGGCCACAGCAGCAGCTCTCTGCCAGCATCCCCTTTACTGCCATCCAGCAGCCCGGACCCTGCCCCAGCGGGCGGATGATGGAGCCGGGTGGCCTCGAGCCGCCGCCGGGCGCTGCCGGCTGCTGCATCCCGAGCAGGGCACGGGGCTCGGGGGTCCCGTTGCGGCTGGCACCGCCCGCGCCCCGCTCACTCTCGTCTCTCTTGCAGGCCGGGCGGCGGGCTGATCATTATAGACAGCATGCCGGACATACGCAAGAGAAAACCCATCCCCCTAGTTAGCGATTTGGTGAGGTTCCTCCTAACGCTTTGCACCCGCCAGCCGCCGGCTTCGCTCCCGCTCCGACCCGCTGGACGTCGCTGCCCGCCGCGGAGGCGGCGCCGCCGCGGGCGCGCGCGCGGGGCTCGCGCTCGCCGTGCTCCGCTCCCCGGCTGCCTCTAACGTGCCTTGTGTTCTCTGTTCTTCTTTTCTGGGCCGCCCCCGGCTGCAGGGGGGCGGCGGTGAGGTTTCTGCGCTGCATTGACAGCATGCCCGACATTAAGCTTGGACGCAAATCTCTCCCTCTAGTGCGAGACCTGGTGAGCGCCGTGCGAGGGGTTAAAGAGAGAGCACCCGTGGGTGCCCGGCCCGGCCGCCGCGGGGGTGCTCGGCCGTGCTGGCCGCAGGGCACGGGGCCAAGCGCCCAGTGTGGCGGCTTGGCGCCGGGACGCTCGTGCCGTGTCCCGGGATGTGTGGAGCGGGGCGGGAGGGAGCGGGTGCTGCGAGGCCGGCCGGGCCCCCCCGCTGGGTGCTTCTCTTTAAGGCGCCCCGTCCCCGCACGGAGCATCAGTCCGAGGCGCCCCGTAGCAGCGGCTGGTTTCCCATATTTGCTGCCGGCGATTCCCACGTGGTTCCTTCATCCCGTGCCAGGGGCTCTGCTCCCGGCGCCGCTCTGGTTRATGGGATTTTCTTGTCCCTGTCCCCGCCGGGCGGTGCCCAGGCCCATCCAGCCCGGCCCTGCTTTGGGATGCAGGGATGCGCCAAGCCAGGCTCAGCAATATTGGAACCCAGACGCCCATCGCGCCCCCAGGAAGGTGCCCTCTGCCCCCCACCTCCCTGTACCCCTCCTGGCCCCACTCTGTGCCCACCCCAGGGTGCTCCTGTTCCCAACCTGCCTCCCCCCGTCCCCCCCAGCCTCAGTGCCCTCCATCACCCTCCCTGCTGCGGCAGCCGCTGATGCTTCTGCGCTGAGTGTTGTGTCGCGGCGGGATGGGGACAGGGACGGGCACGACGGGCTGGTTGTGGCCACAACGGGCTGGTTGTGGCCACGACGGGCTGGCTGTGGCCACGCTGGGTCCCTCTGGGCTGCTGCTTTTCCCGACCGGTGGGATTCGCTGCAGGCTGCAGGTTTGGGGAACCCTGGCTGGAATATCCTCCGCTAAGGGGGACCAGCCCCGTGGTGGCCTTGGGCGGGGATCGGTGCCACCTTGTTCCTACTGGTGACAAAGGAGAAGAGAGGGAAGGGGTGGGAATTGTGGAGCTGTGAAACCCTAACGCCTCTCGTTCCCTCCGCTGCCGCTGCTGCCGCAGGCCATGGTGAGTGTCCCCCGGCAGCCCCCACGGCCCGGCCGCGCAGCTGGAGRCTGTTGGGGACAGGGGGAGACCCCCCACCCCACCCCGGCTTCCCCCCCGCATGACTCGCAATCCACTTTTCTCTCCGCCAGTCGCTGGTGCAGTCCAGGAAAGCGGGAATCACGTCTGCGCTGGCCTCGAGCACCCTGAACAACGAGGAGCTGGTAGGTGCCAGCGCGGGGGGCTGCAGGGGTGGCAGCGACGCCACCCAGGCACGTGGGAGCTCTCCCTTGCTCCCTCCCTGCCTTCCTTCCCGGCGCAGAAAAACCACGTTTACAAGAAGACCCTGCAAGCCTTAGTGTACCCCATCTCGTGCACGACGCCGCACAACTTCGAGGTGTGGACGGCCACGACGCCCACCTACTGCTACGAGTGCGAGGGGCTGCTGTGGGGCATCGCGCGGCAGGGCATGCGCTGCGCCGAGTGCGGCGTCAAGTGCCACGAGAAGTGCCAGGACCTGCTCAACGCCGACTGCCTGCAGAGTAAGGAGCCCCGAGGGTGTCCCCCGCCGTCCCCTCGCCGCCTGCCACGCGGCTGGTCTGGATTTCGTATCCTCATTCCCGCTCTGTGCATGGTGGGGATGCACTGGGCAATTCCTGACCAGAGCACAGATCCTGCCAGGTTGGAATTTGCCCATGTCTGGTGCTGAGCTCAGGGATGCTCAGGCCATTCCCAAGTGCCATCTGTGTCCCTTGTTCCRCCCATCACTGTTGTCCTCTCCCAGGGGCAGCGGAGAAGAGCTCCAAGCACGGAGCRGAGGACCGGACCCAAAACATCATCATGGTGCTCAAGGACCGCATGAAGATCCGGGAGCGCAACAAGCCTGAGATCTTCGAGCTCATCCAGGAGGTGTTCGGTGTCACCAAGACCACGCACACGCAGCAGATGAAGGCCGTGAAGCAGAGCGTCCTGGACGGCACCTCCAAGTGGTCGGCCAAGATCAGCATCACGGGTAGGCACCGGTATCACCGCTCCAACCTGTTCCCATGCCACCACCGTGGGGGGGACCCCTGTGTCCCTGTGGCTCCCGATGGAGTGCATGGCATCCTGCGGGCACATATCCCCCCCAGCAAACCCATCGGTGTTGGCGAATTTGGGGCAATCTGCATGAGGTGCCGTGGCGCACGGCGGGCTCGGGGCGTCCCTGGCGCGCGCTGCCCGCCGCCCGTGCCCGCGCCGCTCACTGCTCTCTCCGTCTCTTCTCTCTGCCCGGTGGTGCCCGCGCGTGGCCGGCTCTGCGTGCCCTGCTGCAGTCGTTTGCGCCCAGGGTCTGCAAGCCAAGGATAAGACGGGTTCCAGTGACCCRTATGTTACTGTCCAGGTTGGAAAGACGAAAAAAAGGACTAAAACTATCTACGGCAATCTCAACCCRGTCTGGGAGGAGAATTTCCATTTGTAAGTTGGGTCCTTGCCTCCCTGCTGCGGTTTTGGGCACCGTCTTTCCCCTCTTGAGCGCAGGGGATGGAGGTGGAGGGTCCCTGGGGAGGGAGGGCAGGACGGTGCCTGTGTCCCCGCTCACACTGTCCCCTTCCCRTCGCAGCGAGTGCCACAACTCCTCCGACCGCATCAAGGTGCGCGTGTGGGACGAGGACGATGACATCAAGTCCCGCGTCAAGCAGCGCTTCAAGCGCGAGTCCGACGACTTTTTGGGCCAGACCATCATCGAGGTGCGGACCCTGAGCGGCGAGATGGACGTCTGGTACAACCTCGGTGAGCTCCGCGATGGCACCGCGATGGCGCCGCGGCAGGGCCATGCTCGGGGCACCCAGCGCCTCATGCCCCTCTCCCTGTGCCCGAGGCAGACAAGCGCACGGACAAGTCGGCCGTGTCGGGCGCCATCCGGCTGCACATCAGYGTGGAGATCAAGGGCGAGGAGAAGGTGGCCCCGTACCACGTGCAGTACACGTGCCTGCACGAGGTGAGCGCCCCACGGGCACCGCCGCCATCACGGGGTCCCCCGTGCCCAACGGGGACCTCACGGGACCCTCTCGCCCTTTCCCAGAACCTTTTCCACTTCGTGACGGACCTGCAAAACAACGGGGTGGTGAAGATCCCCGACGCCAAGGGCGACGACGCCTGGAAGGTGTATTTCGACGAGACAGCGCAGGAGATCGTGGATGAGTTCGCCATGCGCTACGGCGTCGAGTCCATCTACCAGGCGATGACGTGAGCTCCCCGCCGTCCTGCCCCTACCCTCATCCCTGGCTGTGGTCAGCGCTCGGATCCCCACCGTTTCCCCCGCGTTTCCCCCATCCCAGGCATTTCGCCTGTCTCTCCTCCAAGTACATGTGCCCGGGGGTGCCGGCGGTGATGAGCACCCTGCTCGCCAACATCAACGCCTACTACGCCCACACCACCGCCTCCACCAACGTGTCCGCCTCCGACCGCTTCGCCGCCTCCAATTTCGGGGTAAGTCCGATGGTGCGTAAACCTTCTTCCTTCTTCTCTCTTGGGGGGGTGGCGGGTGGGGGGCTCGGGGGGGCGGACAGGGGCCGTGCAAACCCCCCCGCTGCGCTCGCCCCGCAGCCAGGCCTCTGCCCCAGGGGTTCAATCTGCCCCCTGTTTGCCAAGGAGGGAGTTTCCCCATCTGAATTTGCGCCCTGAATCCTCCTGCAGAGCTTTGCAAGCCACCCCGGCTTGGACTGCCGGGCTGCAATGTGTGGCCCCGTGCCCCGTGCCCCCCTGGGCACTCGGTTCCTGCAAGACGATGACCTTTCTCATGCAGCCCCTTCCCTGCTGGTCACGGGGCGCTTTGCACGGCCCTGAGCGCGTCGGGTGCAACCCAAGCCCAGTGCAAACCCCTCCGGCAGCTGCACCAGCACCCATGGGTGCCTGTGGGTGCCCAGCTTTGCACCACCCACTGCAAGGAGGCGAGTTTGCACCGGGGCCGGGCTGCCCCTCGGGGTGAGGAGGAAGAGGATGGACTGGGCTCCCACCCCAGCGACTCCGCATTTGCACGGAGCGAGTGGGGATGGGACCCCAATCCCAGTAGCAGCAGGCAGGGAACAGCTAGAGTGGAGCTGGGCACCAGGTCCTGCAGGCACGAGGGTGCAGGAGGAAACCACAYGCGAAGCCTTTGCTCTGCCGCGGAGGGTGTTAAAAAAACTTATTTCTTTCTCTTTTTTTAGAGAGCCTAAAGGTCGGGTCCTAAAGCGCCCGGCTTTAGGGCCGAGCGCGGTTGTAGCAGCCGCCGTGTGCCGGGGACGCCCGGTCTCGCCCCAAGGCGCCCGGAAGGTTTGCGGTCGGTCGCCCCACGCAGGCTCCGGCACGCGGTGCCCCCCGGCCCCCTGCCCGCACGCAGGGCGGGATGCGGGATGGCAGCAGCCTCGCTTGCGGGTGCCCCCGTGAAGCCGGGCCCTGCGCGCTTGCCAYGCTCCCCGCCAGCCTCCGCGCGCCCTCTCGCAGCCCGGCGGGCGCTTTTCCTTCGGCTCCGGCACGACAGCCCAGGCGGTGCCGGACCAGCATCCTGCTGCCCCCCAACCTGGAGCATCCGGCTGGTTTGGAGCCCCCCGGGGCATTGCCCTGCCCATGTCCCTCAGTACCCGCTTGGCCAAGGTGGCTTGGTCTCGGCGAGGCCCGAAGCAGCTTTGTGGCTGAAACTGGGCGGGTTTTGCAAAAGCAGCTCTTTCCTCAGCCGCTTTTTTGGGGCGCTTGGAGAAAGCCGCCGTCCTGAGCCCCTGCAGTCTTCTCCCACCCAACGCCCTGGCCTTGGGGGACCTTTTGGCTGTCTTGTCCCCACTTGTCCCCTGTGGTGCTGCCGCCTTCCCGGGCACCCGTGGGGGCTTCAGGCACCGGCCGCCGTCGCTGACCCCCCGCCCCGATTGCTGCCGTCTGCTCCACGCTGCCCGCTGACGACCCCCGGCCACCGTCGAGGACGGGTGTCCTTCCCAGCAGGGCACAGCCCGCAGGAGGGCAGGAGATGAGGGGGGACGAGCTGGGGAGGGGGGTGGCACAGGGCCAGGGGGCCCAGAGAGGCAGGCCAGCCCGGGAGGGGGGTGGGATGCGGCGCCGGGCGCTCTGCCCCCGTTTACCTGCTCCGGGGCGTTTCTCCGCAGAAAGAACGGTTCGTGAAGCTCCTCGACCAGCTGCACAATTCCCTGCGGATCGACCTCTCCATGTACCGGGTAAGCGCCCYGCGTGCCTCAGTTTCCCCACCCGCCTATGGAAGAGGCAGCTGCATTCTYGTCTTGGGAAAGTCGGGTGGTTTCCCTGTGCTTTACTCCATGGGCAACTGCTTTTCCCTTCCCTTTTGCAGAACAACTTCCCTGCCAGCAGCCCTGAGCGGCTGCAGGACCTCAAATCCACGGTGGATTTGCTGACCAGCATCACCTTCTTCCGCATGAAGGTATGGCCCTGGCAGTAGCCACGGYGGTGCCCTTGGTGGTGCCGCTCCTGCCAGACCCTGGGACCCATCCCGGGGCCAGTGGCTCTGTGCCCAGTGGTGGCCGGCGCGGTCGGCTCCACAAGTCTCTCCACGCGCAGGTCCAGGAGCTGCAGAGCCCTCCGCGGGCCAGCCAGGTGGTGAAGGACTGCGTGAAGGCCTGCCTCAACTCCACCTACGAGTACATCTTCAACAACTGCCATGAGCTCTACAGTCGCGAGTACCAGACGGACCCGGTGAGCAAGGGGAGCCGCGAGCCGCCGGCCTCGCGCCCGCGGCTGCCCGTGAGCGCTGCGGCCGGCGTGGAGCCCCTGGGTGCTCCCACGTCCCCAGCGTGGAAGTGACCAGAGCCTCCCGTGTCCCCCATGCAGAGCAAGAAGGGAGAGGTGCCCCCTGAGGAGCAGGGCCCCAGCATCAAGAACCTGGATTTCTGGTCCAAACTCATCACCCTGATCGTTTCCATCATTGAGGAGGACAAGAACTCGTACACGCCCTGCCTGAACCAGTGCGTAGCCCTTGGGGKCCTGGGTGAATTGGTGTCACGCTCCAGCCCTTGGGGTCCTGGGTGAATTGGTGTCATAGCATCCGCTTTAAACACAGGGAAACTGAGGCACGGGGCGGTGGAGAGGGACCCATGTGAGCTGCTCAGCAAGCTGGGGAGATCCCCCAGGAGCCCCGTTTCTGGACACGACAGGCAAAGGGGTGTCACCAAGTGTGTCCTGAGCTCCGTGCACCAGCCCCAGCAGCTGGGGGACACATGGGGACAGCCCAGGCATGGCCGTGGGTGGCGCAGRGCCCCGCTGTGGGGTGACCCTGGCCGTGGGGGCTGCTTCTCGGTCTGCGGGCTCCCCGCGAGCGCCCTGTGCCCTCGTCCGCAGGTTCCCGCAGGAGCTCAAYGTGGGCAAGATCAGCGCCGAGGTGATGTGGAACCTCTTCGCCCAGGACATGAAGTACGCCATGGAGGGTGAGTGTCCCCAGGCACCCGTGGGGCAGGACCRAGGCGGTGGGGACACGGCGGGGCGCTCCCCCGCCACCTCCAGCAGCGTCACCGTGAGCTGAAATCCCTCCCTACAAACACCCACGGCCCAAGCTGACCTTRGCACCCCCAGAGCCACCATGGGGAAAGCTCCCGTGCCCGGGGTGGGACGCGGGAGGGCTCGAGCCGACCTGTGCCCACGGCRCTCTCCCCGCACAGAGCACGACAAGCACCGGCTGTGCAAGAGCGCMGACTACATGAACCTGCACTTCAAGGTGAAGTGGCTCTACAACGAGTACGTCACCGAGCTGCCCTCCTTCAAGAGCCGCGTGCCCGAGTACCCTGCGTGAGTGCCCGCCTCGGCGGGGAGCTGCCCGCCCCGCGCCGCGCRTCCCCAGCGCCGCCCGCCCTCACTGGGCACGTGCCCCTCTCGCAGCTGGTTTGAGCCCTTCGTGATCCAGTGGCTGGATGAGAACGAGGAGGTGTCGCGGGATTTCCTGCAYGGAGCGCTGGAGCGGGACAAGAAGGACGGGGTAGGAGGGCAKCTGGTCTTGGCCAGAGCTCAGGGAGGGGACAGCAGTGGCCACCCGCGAGTAGTGCCTGGGGGTTGTTCCCTTGGCCGAGGGGATGTGGGCGGCTCACGGGCCCTGTCCCCGCTGCAGTTCCAGCAGACGTCGGAGCACGCGCTCTTCTCCTGCTCCGTCGTGGACGTCTTCTCCCAGCTCAACCAGAGCTTCGAGATCATCAAGAAGCTCGAGTGCCCCGACCCGCAGATCGTGGGGCACTACATGCGGCGCTTTGCCAAGGTGGGGTCCTGCCTCTGCCCGCGCTCCTGGCACAGCCCAGCGGATCCCGTTGTTGGGTTCCACGAGACTCACTGTGTCCTTCCTTTCGGCTCTTTCCCTCCCTCCTCCTCCTCGTTGCTGCACTCCCATCGCTTGGGGGGCTGCAGACCATCAGCAACGTGCTGCTCCAGTATGCCGAGATCATCTCCAAGGATTTTGCCTCCTACTGCTCCAAGGAGAAGGAGAAAGTGGTGAAGTACCCGCTCGTCTCACTGGCCAGGCGCTGCCTGGTGCCCCCCATCCCGTCCCAGCACTCAAAGGGGCCTTGGTGTCCCCACACTGCTGCCCTGCGGGGTCGGTGGCCTGGGYGTCCCTGCTGATGCCCAAAGGAGCCGGTGGGTGGGTGACAGGTGGCCCCTGGGTGTCCCCAGGGTGTGGGGTGGTGGCAGGGTGGCTTGTCCCCGTGTCCCTGCGGTGCTGCGGTGCCTGGTGCTGACCCTGCTCTCCATGCTGCCCTCCAGCCCTGCATCCTGATGAACAACATCCAGCAGCTCCGCGTGCAGCTGGAGAAGATGTTTGAAGCCATGGGGGGGAAGGAGGTGAGTGTCAGAGCCCCTTGGGGGGGACTCCCATAGTCCCACCTCCCTGGGGCAACCCCTTCCCTGGCTCCACAGCCCCCTTTCCCTCCGGCACGGACCACCCTGTGYCACCCCATGGCACCCTGCCAGCTCAGCCACCCCAGCTCCAACCAGCGCTGGGCTCTGCCCTTCCCCTGTGGTGCTTTTGGGGTGCGGAGACCCTCCAGGGCTGGGAGAGAGCCCCCACCCCCAGTGTCCTCTCCAACCTGTCCCCCGTCCCCAGCTGGACACAGAAGCCAGCGACATCCTCAAGGAGCTGCAGGTGAAGCTCAACAACGTCCTGGACGAGCTGAGCCGGATCTTCGCCACCAGGTAGCCCCGGGCCAGGGGACGCGGGACGGGGGCTGTTGGGCAGGTGGTGGCCTGGGGGATGCTGAGCGCTGCGGTCCCCAGCTTCCAGCCGCACATCGAGGASTGCGTGAAGCAGATGGGTGACATCCTGGGCCAGGTGAAAGGTACTGGCAACGTCCCCGCCAGCACGTGCAGCAGCGTGGCCCAGGACGCCGACAACGTCCTGCAGCCCATCATGGACCTCCTGGACAGCAAGTGAGTGTGAGGGACAGCAAGGCCCATACGGGGACCCCTGTGGCCCCCCAAGCCACTCTGGGAGCAATGGGGACTTGTGCCAATGTCTCATGGGGATCGTGGTGGCCAAGCAAAGGGTGGCACCAGGGGTGCCATGCTCAGCTCTGTCCCCTCTCTGCAGCCTGACACTCTTTGCCAAGATCTGCGAGAAGACCGTGCTGAAACGGGTGCTGAAGGAGCTCTGGAAGCTGGTGATGAACACCATGGAGAAGACCATCGTCCTGCCGCCRCTCACTGACCAGACGGTGAGGGGCAGGGGACGGGGCCTGGGGACCCTGGAGCTCGCCCGGCCTTGTGCCCTGTGCACAGGTGGCCCATGGGGGACATCGCTGAGGACGTGAGGGCTTCGTTCAAGCCCCCTGCTCGTGGCTGGAGAGGGGATGGAGGAGGGAAAGGTCCATGCTGGGGTGCCCAGTGCCATCCAGCGCACCTCACCAAAGGACTGTCACCCTCCTGCCACCCCCGTCATGGCACCTATCGGGGGAAATTGGTCCTTTCCTCCCCATTCTGCCCCCCAGGCTGCAGGCGCAGCATCCCCTTCCATGGGATGAGGGCACGGGCCTTGCGCCAGGCGCTGAATCCGTGAATCCGGTGGCACCGTGGGGTTGGGATTGCTCCGGGCTCAGGCGTGATGGGCTGGGCTCAGCCCTCGCCCAGGGCCTGGGTGGGCCCAGACGGAGCCGGAGGCAGTGGGAAGTGCAGGGAATCGCCTGGCAACTTGGAGAGAGGCTTCCTGGAGGCTTCGAGGCTCCGTCTCGCGCTGCTGCGTGTCCCCGCGCTCCTGCGTGTGGCAATGTCCCCAGGGCTGGGGGGCTGCCACCGCCTGGCCTCATGGCTTTTGCTGGGGGGTTGCTTCTGTGCTCTTGGGGGTCTAGCAAGGAAGGAGAAGGTCCCTTCACCAGGGGACCAGTGACATCAAAGGCTGTTCCTGTCCTTGTCCCGCTTGGTGGCTTCCCACAGAGCTGGGATCTGGGACTGTTGGATGGGCTCTAGCAGGGCGTCCCCGGAGCTGCTGTGTCACCTCGCTTGGTCCCCTGGGACCCTGGGGCTTCTCGCACCGGCTGTCTAAGGGACAGTGTGACACAGGCTGCTTCCCTGCAGCCCTCGGCACCGAGGTGGCCCGCTGAGGTGCCGCTTGTCCCAGCGCGGAGCGTCTCCGCGCGCTCGGATGAGCCAGCAGAGCTCCAGGGCAGCGAGGACCCGGAGCCAGGTCCCCACTGCAGCCCGGGGTCCTGTCCCCTTCCTGCCCCTTGAAGAGGCTCCCATGGAAGTGTGGATGGCTTAAAATGCCACAATGGGCATTTTTTCCCCCAATTGTGGGGAGTTTCTGGCTGGAGGCTGGTCTTGGTGCTGGGTAGGGTCCAACTTGGAGGGGAGAGTCTGTCCCGGAGCAGCAGCTGGAGGGGCTCAAGGGGCGTCTGCTCCGCACCGTGACCCGGGTGGGCATCAGCAGGTCTCACCCTGTGCGTCACCGCGCTGGGATCGCTTTGTCACCGCACGTCACCCGCTGTGATGGACCGGCGTGGGTGGCGCGGAACTGATGCGGTGCCGTGGAGCTCAGGGATGCTGGAGCGCCGGGATCCCGGCGCCGGATGCCCTCTGGGCGCGCGGCCGGGGCTGTGGGCAGCCGGGGGGTGACAGCAGGATGTGACCGGGGTAGGGTGACAGCAGGACGTGACACTCATGCAATGGTTGTTCTCTCCACTTGCTCCGCTCGCCTCTCAATGGCAGATGATTGTAAGTACGGCGGCTCCCGGGGTGTCTGTCTGTCTGTCCGCTGTGTGTYGGTCCCGACCTCACCGGTTCTTGTCTCGTGTGGCTGTCCCCTCCTTGCCCTCCGTGTCCCCACGTCCCCTTGCTGCGCACTTGGCACTGGTCCCGGTGGGACAGCCAGCCGGGCCGGCGCTGGAAGGCTCCCGGAGGCGCCCATGCCCGCTGGATTTGCCAGGTTGAGGGCCAGGCTTGGCACGGAGGGAAGGAGCTGCCAGCGCTTGGCAGTGCCACCTATTCGGACCAGCCAAATCCAAGCAGATCCCCCCGTCCTGCTCTGCCGCCAAGGGGACAGAGCTCAGCAGGAGCATGAGAAGGATGTGCCAGGCGGATGGGGCTGCTCTTCCTGGCCGCTGTGCCTCAGTTTCCCTATGAGATTATGGCTGTGCTGGGGAAGGGCGGGTGCTGAGGGCAGAGGCTTCTKGTGACAAGCGTCTTGCAGGGACACGGAGGTCCCCAGCTGAGGTTGAGGGGTGATCGGGGAGGGCAGCTGCCCCACAGGCTTTTTCCTTGGCCGGGATGCATGACTGGCATCCCGGACTCCTGGGCCCCTCTCTCAGCGCTGCTGTCAGTTCCTTGCACGGCTTTGACCGAGATTCCCTTCCGCTGTCTCCTATTCCCCTGGGGACAACGAGCTGGATCCCTGGGGGACAGCCCTCACTCCCACCACCACCCTGAGCCCCCCGAGGCCCCTGGCACCTTCCCAGGGTGCCCGGTCCGGGATTCCAGGCACTCGGCTCCCAGGTCCCTGCAGGGACAAACTTTCGTCCCTCTTCATCCCCACACCTTGGTGGCCRGTAGCGGCATTTGGAAGGACCCCGGCAGCCCCCAGACCTTGCGGGCACCTAACGAGGGTGCCAGGGTGCAGCCTTTGGCTGTGCCAGGCCACCCTCCGTCCCCGCACCGGGACAACTGTCCCTGCTGCAGCAATGGGGACAGTGGCAGCTCTGCCCAACCCCGGGGGGGGTCCCAGGCAAAGGGSACCCCCCCAGCACCGCGTGCCTCAGTTTCCCCCCAGGACAGGACSCCCTCATATCCCTGAAGATGCTCTTTGGCCATCTGTGCCCCAAACTGCCCCCAGGCTGGTTCAGCCCCCCCGCCATGTGCCACGTCTGCCCCGTTTTAAACCAGCCCACCCCCAAAAAAGCGGGGGGCAGCGAGCTCTGCACCCTGCCTGCCAAGTCCCAGCGGGGGCTGCGCCCCTGCGCTGCAGCCCCCTCCTCTGGCCCCCCTTGTCCCCGAGTGCCGTCCCCGCGCCCCCCCACGCCCCCGCTCACCCTCTGACGTTGCTTCTACAGGGCACGCTCTTGAGAAAACATGGCAAGGGGACAGAGAAGGTAAATAGCCCGTGGGCTGCTGCGTGTGTCGTGGCCCCGGGGCCGCCCGGGACCCCTGCCCRCCCCGTGTCCCCCCGGCCGGGGTGGCCGGGCCTGTCCGTGCTGCCTGTCGTGCTGTCTGGATGTGCCGTGGGTGCTGTGGTGTCCCGCTGTGCCGTGTTGTCCGCGCTGGGGCCACCGCCGACGGGGCTGTGTCCTGGGGACGGGGCGGGGGACGGGGCCTGGATGGGGGGGTGCAGGGGGTGTCTCTGCAAGGGGGATGGGGGGACATGTAGTGGCTCCTCTGCAGCCCCAGCGTGGCACTAGCCGGTCCCCAAAGGCATCCGCCGTGTCCCCCCGGGAAGGGGTGACACCCCAGGGGTGCGGACAGGGGCTGCAGAGATCCCCTGGATCTCCTAGCTGCTCCCCGCCACCCATGGGTGCTCCCGCCACCCCTGGGTGCCCCCAGCCCCCCCTGGGTGCTCAGGAACTCCGGGGGTTCTTCCAGCCTTGCCTGGAGCTGCAGCCTGGGAAGGGCAGCTCCGGAGCGCGGCCCTCAGCTCAGCCCCAGCTGCCCTGGGGACAGCGGGGTGCTGCCCTGGGGACCCCAAGGTGCTGCCCTAGGGACAGCGGGGTGCCAACCTGGGGACAGCGGGGACTCCAACACGCTGCCCCAGGGACAGCAGGGACCCCAGGGTGCTGCCCTGGGGACAGCAGGGACCCCRGGGTGCTGCTCTGGGGACCCCAAGGTGCTGCCCTAGGGATAGAGAGGCCCCTAGGGTGCCACCCTGGGGACAGGGGAGACCTCAGGGTGCCACCCTGGGGACAGCAGGGCCCCCAGGGCCGCCCGGCTCCGCTGTGCCGAGCTCTCCTTCTGCTCCTGCTGCTCTTGGAGCAGCCGGGGCTGGGAGCAAAGACGGGGCGGGTTGCAATGGCAGCAGAGACCTGGCACACTCATCACCAGGTGGGTCCAGAGCACTTGGGCAGCYGGGGGAGGCTGGACGCCTGCGAGCGCCCGGCCTGACACTCTGAGCTGCCGACTGGTGTCCGGCCAGCGTCACCCCCGGACACCTGGGCCCGCCGGCGCCGCCGAGCCCGCGGCCGCTGCCAGGGCCGCCGGTAACTGTCCCTTGCTGTTCTCGTTGCAGAGCAGGGTGAAGCTGCCCAGTCACACTGAAGTAAGGACACGGCTCTTCTCCTGCCCGCGCGCCTCCGCTCCCCGTGCCTGCCTCCGCCGGCCCTGCGCCCCGGCCGCTGCGCCCTGCTCTGCAGGCTGGGGGGCAGCTCTGTACCGTGTCCCAGCGGGCTCCGTTCAGGGGACACCCGTGTCCCTGGCTCCCAGCCCGCCGAGGGACCAGGGCCAGCAAGGGAGGGTTAATGGGAACCAAGCGGGGGGCAGAACGGAAAGGGTTAATGGAGGGGGCGCAAATGGGCACTGTGCCGCTGCCAAGCCCTGGACACCCCTTTGGACGCTGTGCCCTGTGGGCACAGGGGTTGGGGGCTCTGTGGGTGGCACCAGGGGCTGTGCCACCCCTGTCCTGCCATGCTCGGTGCAGGGATGCTGTCCCTGCAGGGTCCCGGTGGCCCCGTGCCCRGCTCCGCTGCGTGCCAGGGCTCCGGGCGCCGAGCTGGGACCAGCAGTGGGGCTGCTGGTGCAGCATCCCGGCTCCTGTCCCAGGCCCCAMATCCTGGCTTTGGGCAGCAAGGGGGATGCAGCAGCGCCCTCCAGGTCGGCACGGCCAGCGGGCAGCCCGGCTGCACCCGCCTCGGCCCCACAGCAGCCGCCACCCACGGCGCCCGCTCACCGTCCCGTGCCCCTCTCTCTGCTCCCCGCAGGGCACCCAGATGATCTTCAACGCGGCCAAGGAGCTGGGCCAGCTCTCCAAGCTGAAGGTGAGGGCGGTGGGCGCGGGGGCAGCGGGGCCCGGGCGCCCGGCGCGGCTCTGAGCGCCGCCTTGGCCCGCGCAGGACCACATGGTGCGGGAGGAAGCCAAGAGCCTGACGCCCAAGCAGTGCGCGGTGGTGGAGCTGGCGCTGGACACCATCAAGGTGGGACCCCGCGGTGGCATGGTGCCCACTGGGTGCTCGCGGTGGCCCTGGGGGCTCCGTAAGGACCCCCCGGCGGTGCTGAGCCGCCCTGGTGCCCCTCCTGGCAGCAATACTTCCATGCGGGCGGCGTGGGGCTCAAGAAGACCTTCCTGGAGAAGAGCCCCGACCTGCAGTCGCTGCGCTACGCGCTGTCCCTCTACACGCAGGCCACCGACCTCCTCATCAAAACCTTCGTGCAGACCCAGGCCTCGCAGGGTAGGATGTGCCACCCCCTCAGTGTCCCCCCCCTCCAGGCCACCAAGGGCCGCGTCGCGGCGGGGCTTGGGGACAGCGGCCAGTGTCCAGCACAATGGGCAGGATGGGGCGCAAGGGATGAGGGGGGACCAAGGTGGGGGTTGCCCCCCCTCTGCTGCGGCGGTGGCCACCGAGCAGCCCCGTCACCGTCCCCCCCGTCACCGTCCCCACGTCACCGTCCCCACGGTTTCGTGCCAGCCCCCGTTGTGGCCCCAGGCGCACGTCCCCGTGCGTGGCGCCGGGTGCCCCGTCCCGCCGTGTCCCTCGCCCGGCCTCGTGTGCGTCTGGGCGCTTGGCTCTCTGTGCAGGGCAGTCCGTGCTGTGTGTGGCGGCCGGGCGGGTGCCCGCGCGCGCCCGCCGCTTCCCTGTCCTGCAGTGTCGTCTGGCTGCTCGGCCGTGCGTCTGTCTGCGAGACCTGACCTCTCTCTCTCTCTTCTCTGTGTTTTTCCTCCCTCTTCTCGCTCTTTCCTCCCCACCGCTCGCTGTGCCCCTCTCTCTTCTTCTCTTCCACTCTTCTTTTCGCCCTGTGTCTCCGTCTTTCTCTCTCGCCTTCCTACTAGTGCACGGTGGCAAAGGGGTTAGGTTTACCCTTAGTGAAGAAATTTATCCTGAGAAGGGTACGTGTGACGCTCCCCCGCGCCAGCCCCTGCCTGCCGCCGTCCGCCTGGGCTAGTAACCGTCCCAGCAGGGCTAGTAACCGTCCCCCGCCCGGCCAGGCAGAGCTTCAGCCCCGCCGGGTGCCCCGTGTCCCCACTTTGGAGGAATCGGGCACGGGTGACGCCGCCCGGGCCGGTGCCACCCGCTAGTGCCACCCCATGGGGCACCCAGGGACCTTGCACAGGGGGCACCCTGCCTCTGAGGGGACACACAGCCCTGTGTGGCCCTTTGGGACGGTGGATCCCGCCCCCCTGCCCCAAYCCCCCCATTGCCAGCAGGACCTTTACTAGCCTTGCTCTGTGCCCCTCGGGGGCCCCGCTTGGCCGCCCCCCACTGCGGGGGGCTCCGCACCCATGCTTGGACCCCCCTCCATCGCCTCCATCCCGGCTCAGCATGTGGCACCGACGGGGTGGGCACAGGGGTGCCCGGGGGCGCTGGGGTGTCCCGGTGAGGCAGAGGATGGAGAGCGAAGGGTGCCCGCCCCGCTCCAGGGACGTGTCCCCAGGCTGGTGGCACCGAGTGGCGCGCGGGGACGTGGCCTCTTTCACACTGTGATTTCCTTCCCGCCTGGGTCTTGTCCCTGCCTCCTTCCCCAGCGTGGGGCTTCTTCGCTGCTCTTGGTTTCATGTCCCCTCCTTAGCCTGACRTGTCCCTTCACCCGTCCCTCTGCCTTGCCGCCCTCCTTCACCCATGGGTGCATGCGCGGCGCAGGGTGGTGGATGGGAGGATGCTCCTGGGCGCGGGTCACCCCAGTGTCCCCTGCCCTGGGTGCACGAGGAGGGGGCCCAGGGCTTGGTGTGRCCCCCCACACAACGTGGAGGGGACCTGGGTGGAGCCGAGGGTGGCACGAGGTGGCATTCGGGTCCCTGCTGCCCAGTGCAGAGCTGGGGCAGAGCAGGTGGCGCAAAGAGCACCGAGTCCCCTGGGTGCCGCACGACACGTCCCCCTCCTTGTGCCGAGCAGTGACAACCAGCTGCAAGGACYGGCACCTGCCGCTGTCCCTGCTCGCTGCCACCCCGGCCAGGGGCTTCTTCCCAAGGCCAAAACATGGGATGGGGAAAGCAAGATTCTCCCAGCAGTGCGGAGAGCAGGGCCACCACGGGGCACCTTGATGCCACCTTGCCTGGTGACCTGTCTCCTGCGATGCTGTCCCGCTCACATGTCCCCCCCGGCCATGCAGGCTCCGGTGTGGACGACCCCGTTGGCGAGGTCTCCATCCACGTGGAGCTCCTCACCCACCCGGGTACCGGCGAGCACAAAGTCACCGTCAAAGGTGGGTGATGCAGCAGGATGGGGACATGGGGACATCCCCATGACCCTCCTGCCCCTCACCGCCCTCTCCCTCCTAGTGGTGGCYGCCAATGACCTCAAGTGGCAAACGTCGGGCATCTTCCGGCCCTTCATTGAGGTCAACATCATCGGGCCCCACCTGAGCGACAAGAAGAGGAAATTCGCCACCAAGTCCAAGAACAACAGCTGGGCGCCCAAGTACAACGAGAGCTTCCAGTTGTGAGTGGCGGCGCTGGGGTGGGGGGGACAGCCCTGTCCTGGGCGGGGGGGGATCCCACATCCCGGAGGATGCTCCAGCCCCGTGTCCTCTGCACATGCGGCAGCRCTGAAAGCACCCGGGTTTTTTCCCTCCAAAGGGACGTTTTGATGCTTTCCACTGGCCAACGCCAAGCAGCGCATTGCAGCCCATCAAAAAAGTGCATTTTTGGGGGTGGGAGGGAGAAAATCGGGACGATTGCTTTGTTTTCTTCCGCGGCTGCTCTGCRGCGGTGCCCAACGCGCGTTTCCCCCCCTCGCTCCCCGGCGCAGCACGCTGGGCACGGAGACGGGCCCCGAGTGCTACGAGCTGCAGGTGTGCGTGAAGGACTACTGCTTCGCGCGCGAGGACCGCACGGTGGGCATGGCCGTGCTGCAGCTGCGCGAGCTGCTCCAGCGGCCGGCCTGCGCCTGCTGGCTGCCCCTGGGCCGCCGCATCCACATGGACGACACGGGCCTCACGGTGCTGCGCATCCTCTCGCAGCGCAGCAACGACGACGTGGCCAAGGAGTTCGTCAAGCTCAAGTCGGACACGCGCTCGGCCGAGGAGGGCAGTGGTTAAAGTGCCCCCCGTTCCCCGTCCCCCCCGCCAGGCCCCGTTTATTCCCCTTCCTCACCCCAACGGGCCCCTTTTCTACAGCATCCTCTAGCCGTGGATAAGCCATAGGGACGGGCCGCCCTCCTCCCCGCGCCCGGGGCGGTGCCAGGGAGGGGACGCGGGTGTCCCACGCTGTGTGTCCCCCTTGGTGCCAGGAAGGGCACAGCCAAGCCCCACCGAAGGGCAAGGGACACAGGGACGGGATGGCCCCCCGTGTGGCCAGGGTGCCCCTTCCCTGCGTTTCCGGGGTGGGGGCACCCAAGGACGTTCCCCCGGAGTCCCGAACCCCAGTGCAAGGAGGGTGCCAACCTAGGGGGGTCTTGGCCRGCCGGGACGAGGATCCCAACCCCACGGAGGACACGGGGCCCATCCCTGCCCGCCGGGCACCCACACACATACGCAGCTGTGCGGCCCCGGGGCAGGGGGACACGGCGCAAGGGCTATGGGGGCTGCGCCGCCCCCGAGAAGCCCCCGGCCCGGCTCCCGTCTTCCCGTCTTCCCCGCTGCCCCCACGAGGGGCTGCAGCTCCCGGGTGCCGTGGCCGGAGCAGGAGGGCACCCGGCTGCAGCCAGCCGGGCCCCTCCAGCCCTGCAAGGTCCCCACAGCACCCAAGGGTCCTGCGGGGCACAACCCCCCCCCCCTGCCAACACCCCAGCCTGGAGGCCCCGTGTCCCCTTTGATGTCATTTCCCTGTGACCTGTGGTGTGCGTGTCCCCTAGGGGCAGCCGGGGCGCGCGGGGCCACCGAGGGCGGCCACCCAGCCCCCTCGAGCCCCCTCGCCACTATTACCTCTCTCCCCCCCTCCCAGCACAGGGGTGCTCAGCCCGGCCCCTCTCCCCACCCCTTTTTCTATAGGGTGCGCCTGGGACCAAAGGGTCGAGCTCTTCACTCGCGTTGCTGTTTAATGTTTACACCCCTTTTCTAAGTGCTGCTCCACTCCGGGGGCTCCCCAGCCCCAGGTGTCCCCCCCCCAGCCCCGAGATGTCCCCCCCTTTCGGCATGTGACGGACCCCCCCACCCCGCTCCCGTAGCACAGTGGTTGACGATGCCCGCGTGTCCGTACCCAGCCTGCCGGCACCGCTGCCGGCGGGGGTGACCATGGATGCATGACAGTGAGATGTTTTGCACTATTTTGACTTTTTTGGGCTCTGTAAAAATATTTTATTATACCTGACATTAAAAAAAAAAAAAAAAGCACACCCTTCCCCACGTGCTGGGGTGCTTGGAGAGGAATGGCAACAGGGGCGCAGCTGAGCTGAGGGAAGGAAGAAAAAAAGAAAGGAGGGAAGAAAGAGAAAGAAGGGAAGA